GGGCTGTGCTGGTGGAGGTCACCAGGCAGGAGAACCAGGCCAGTGCCGTGCAGGGATCACCCGTGCTCGTCCCCGTGCTCCTGCCTGGGCGGGTGCAGCCCTGAGAGCCAGGCAGCCCATCCATATTTATGCCTGACATTAATTTCCATTCATTTCAATATTTTATGAGCATAACAATTAAAAAAAAAAAAAAAAGGGTTCAGCGCTCATTGAGACATAGAAATAATTGGGTGTTGATGGTCCTGGAGCACTGCCACGCAAATCCCAGGAGCTGCTGGTGCTGCCCATGCCCAGGAAATTGCCACAACGGTGCAGGAACCTGGCTGGCCCCGTGGGTGGGGATGGGCAGTGCCTGCCCTGGGGCTCTGCTGCCTCTGGCTGTAGCCCCCGGGTCCTGGTGGGGCTCTGGAGATCCCCCCGGGGCAGCTGCCACTGGGTTTAACTGGGAATAGATCCAACCTGCAGGTGGGCAGCAGGAGCTGAGGGGTGGGATGGCTCCTGCAGTGTTGGAGCTGAGGGTGGGAGTGGGGTGGGCGAGGCACAGGTGGATTTTCACCTCTGAGCTGGGATGTGCTCCTTGCTCCTCCACCCGGTGTCCTGCCAAGGTCTGGGCATGGTGGCCATGGCAAAGGCAAAGGGGGCAAGAGGGGGTGAAGGGGTGCAGGGCTGGCCCCCACCCTCTCAGGGGTCTCAACATGTCACTGTGCTCTGTCCCCCAGACTCCGTGGCCTGTGTGGACCCTGAGGAGAGCACCTGTGAGTGTGGGGCTGCTCCAACATCGCCTGCCCCAGGCTGGTGGTCGAGCTGGTGTCCGGGGTAGGTGGGTGCCAGGGGGTGACCCCATTCCCACCGGGATTGCTGCACCCCGGGGCTGCTGCCAGGGCTTGGATGTTGGGGGGGACCCCAGGGATGGTGTGGGAGAGTCTGTGTTTGGGGTAACCCACAGATGGTGTGGGAAGGTCTTTGTTCAGGGGACCCCAGGGATGGTGTGGGAGGGTCTGTGCATGGCACAGCCCGTGCAGCCCCCCCCGAGGGTCGCACCAGCAGTGAGCTCAGGGGATGTGAGGCCCCGGGGTGCAGCTGAATGTTCCCAAACTCCATCCTCGCCCTGGGGGAGATCCCAGCTTGTGGCTGCAGAGGGGTAGGCACCATCCCGGGGTTACCCTGTCCCATCCCTCCCGGTTCAGCCGCTCCCTCTCTCCCGCAGGGCTGAGGGGTCTGATGAAGGCAGCACTCCTGTCATCCCTGAGCTCCCTCTCCACCAGCAGCAGCACCTCCCCTCCCTGGGCACCTGGAGGGAGCTGCTCCTCCTGGGCAGGCACTGACCGGGCCTTTCGGGGAGACCCGTGGGGCCGGTCGAGCCTGCAAAGCGCCTCCACTCATCCTGGCTTATGTAAGGAGCACAAACCCTTGGATTCTTTTATGGATGGAAGCGCAGACGGGGCGCTCGGTGCAGCCTCTCCCGGTCACCTCCAGCCGGGTCCGGTCACACACGGGGGTGGCAGAGGGCAGAGGGCAGTGGCAGAGGGCGGTGGCACAGGGCGGTGGCACAGGGCTGTCCCACATCCCCGTTGCCCCCGGCGGTGCCCGCGGAGCCGCGCTCGGGGCGGTGCACTCAGCGCTGGGGAATGCCCGGCTCGGTGCCACCGGCCCGGGACACAATAACAGGGAGAGAATCTGGGTCAGGGCTTTGGCCGCGCTGTGCGGAGGCTTGGCCGGACCAGCGGCCGCAGGAGCGGCTGGTTCTTGGCATTTCCATGTGCAGGGGGCGAAGGGGATGGGCGGCGATGCCGGCATGGGGGTCCCTTATTGTCCCTCGCTTGTCCCAGAGCCTGCTTAGCCCCTCCCTGGCACTGGCTTGGCTGCCGGTGACAAGGGCGTGACAAGGCAGGAGAGCTCTCCCCGGGATGGATAATGAATGTTTGCGAAGGGCTTTGCCCGCCCGGGGCGGGAGTCGCTGCTGCGGTGGATCCCGGGCAGCTTCCCCAGAGCCGGGTGATCCGTGCGAGCAGGACGCTGCGGATCGTAGGGACAGAGCCAAGGAAATGTGCTTGGCAGAGGGAGGAAAGCTCTGTGAGCTGCAAGTTTGAGGTTTTCCTCAGCGTGGGTCGGGTTCTGAGTAGTTGTCAGGGGGTTCCAACTGCCCCCACACCCATCAGGGAGGGGATGCCACATCCTGGGATCACGGTCTGGGCTGGAAGGTTCCTTAAAGATCATCTCGTTCCAGCCCTGAGAAAAGGGCTTTGAGTGTGGTGTGGCAAAGAGCTCCAAGTTCCCAGACCTGGGGGTTGGAGCTCCAGGAGGTGGCTGTCCCCAGGGTCATCTGTGCCCTACACTCAGCATGTTTCTGTGCCAGGTTCCTGCTCAGCCAGCCTGGACACCCACAGCCACCCAAGGCCACGGGACCCCAGCTGTGGCCCTTGGGGACACCACAGGACCCCCATTCTGGGCCTGTGTCTGTGGCATCAACACCTTTGTCCTGATGTGTGCCAATATTTCCTGTTATGCCTGTTTTGCCCAGCACCCTGACAGCCCCTGGCATGGGGAAGAGGTGCTTGGAGAGGGGAAAAATGAGGATTTGGGTGGTGTTTTTTATTTGTTTGGGACGTGATGTTTAAATCCACTGGAGCAGTGAGTTGGGTGTTCTGAGCACTGCATTCCCTGAGTGCATCCCAGGAGGTGTGAGGGGCATTTGTTGGGACAGAAAATCCCTTGGGGGGGTTTGGGACAGGCATTGGGGTGGGGAAATGGGGGCTGCAAGGAAGTAAAACTGCAGTGAAGCAGCACCTGCATGAATGGAGGGATGGGATCACCCTGGCAGTGCTGGAAAAGGAGCAGCCACTCTCAGGGGCAACACCCAAACACATTTTACTGGCCCTAAATAAAAATAATATAAAAAAAGCAGCACAATTCGCAGCTATGAACAGCTCCCACAGGATGGAATCCCTGTGGATCAGCCTTCCCTGGTATCCTGAGACCTGGAATTCCTCTGTGGAGTTGTGGTTCTGGTTGTGTCCTGGCTGCCTGCAGCCCTCCCTGGAGCTGGGGCTTTGCTTACAGGGTTTGGAGAGGATTCAGGGTTTGGAGAGGATTCAGGGTTTGGAGAGGATTCAGGGTTTGGGGGTTTGGGATCACTCCCTCTGTTGCTGTCATCCCACTGGATTGTGCCTCTGGAAAAGTTTTTATGGCCGTGCTTGCACACTCCACACTGGCAGTGCTGCCTGCCCCATCCCTGGGCTGGGGGTCACAGACCAGGGGGACAAGGACCAGGCACCATCCTGGGGACAAAGGGACACTCAGGCTGAGTGGGCAGCTCTGGTGAGGGGGGACAATGGGGCCGGGTCCTGCCCGGACAGTGGCAGCGTGGTGAGGGTCACCTGTGGATGGTCACTCAAAGGTCAAAGTCACTTGTGGATGGTCACTTGAAGGTAACCTGTGGACGGTCACTCAAAAGTCACTTGTGGATGGTCACTTGAAGGTAACCTGTGGATGGTCACTCAAAGGTCAAAGTCACTTGTGGATGGTCACTTGAAGGTAACCTGTGGACGGTCACTCAAAAGTCACTTGTGGATGGTCACTTGAAGGTAACCTGTGGATGGTCACTCAAAAATCACTTGTGGATGGTCACTTGAAGGTCACTTGTGGATGGGGTGGACGTAGCTCCGTGGGAAGAGCCCGACACGGCCGTAGATCTTCCCCTGCCACCAGTTGGGGTCGGGGCAGCCCAGGACCTCAATGATGTCTCCACGGAGGAAGGGCAGCTGGGAGCCCTCCTGGGCTGAGAAGTCGAACTGGGCTTGCACAAATCGGGGTCTCTTCACCGGCAGGGAAGCCGAGGGCTGGGGTTGGTGGGAGGAGAGGGGTCCCCATCTGCCAGCCCCTGGCCTGGGTCCTGATGGGGATGCGGTGCCACCACGGGATGAGGACGAGCCCTGGGATGTCTGCTTTGAAGAGACAGAAACAAGGAAAGGGAAGAGTGGATTGCTGGGGAGATCCCCAGGTGCAGGGGAACACCCCAGGGCACAAGACTCCCTGTTCTTGCTGCTGGGACACCCGTGATGGGTGCCCAGGGAGGCAGCTGGCACCCTTTCTTTCCCAGGTCCTTCCAGGTGCTGGAGCCTTCCCCATCCCAGCTCCCAAAGCCCAGTTTTGCCACCTCCACAACCACTGCCCCAGGGCTTGGCTTTGCTGGAGTTTGGCCGTGCCCTGTCCTGGCTCTGCCACCTGCCCTGGGCATCACCCCTGGCCTGAGGGACAGGGATGTGTGCCCTGCCCTGTCCTGCCCCCTGAGCTGCTCCAGGAGCCCTTCCTCCCTGCAGCACCGCCTGTCTCAGGCTGCTGCACCCTCTCCTGCTCCTCACCCCCCTGAGCCAAAGGGTGAGTGCCAGGCAGGGATGTCCTTGTCCCTCTGCAGGGACCCTGAGCCTCGAGGGGGCTCACGCAGGGGTTTGGGACCCCGTGATGTTTAAATCCACTGGAGCAGTGAGTTGGGTGTTCTGAGCACTGCATTCCCTGAGTGCATCCCAGGAGGTGTGAGGGGCATTTGTTGGGACAGAAAATCCCTTGGGGGGGTTTGGGACAGGCATTGGGGTGGGAAAATGGGGGCTGCAAGGAAGTAAAACTGCAGTGAAGCAGCACCTGCATGAATGGAGGGATGGGATCACCCTGGCAGTGCTGGAAAAGGAGCAGCCACTCTCAGGGGCAACACCCAAACACATTTTACTGGCCCTAAATAAAAATAATATAAAAAAACAGCACAATTCACAGCTATGAACAGCTCCCACAGGATGGAATCCCTGTGGATCAGCCTTCCCTGGTACCGTGAGACCTGGAATTCCTCTGTGGAGTTGTGGTTCTGGTTGTGTCCTGGCTGCCTGCAGCCCTCCCTGGAGCTGGGGGAGAGGATTCAGGGTTTGGAGAGGATTCAGGGTTTGGAGAGGATTCAGGGTTTGGGGGTTTGGGATCACTCCCTCTGTTGCTGTCATCCCACTGGATTGTGCCTCTGGAAAAGTTTTTATGACCGCGCTTGCACACTCCACACTGGCAGTGCTGCCTGCCCCATCCCTGGGCTGGGGGTCACAGACCAGGGGGACAAGGACCAGGCACCATCCTGGGGACAAAGGGACACTCAGGCTGAGTGGGCAGCTCTGGTGAGGGGGGACAATGGGGCCGGGTCCTGCCCGGACAGTGGCAGCGTGGTGAGGGTCACCTGTGGATGGTCACTCAAAGGTCAAAGTCACTTGTGGATGGTCACTTGAAGGTAACCTGTGGACGGTCACTCAAAAGTCACTTGTGGATGGTCACTTGAAGGTAACCTGTGGATGGTCACTCAAAAATCACTTGTGGATGGTCACTTGAAGGTCACTTGTGGATGGGGTGGACGTAGCTCCGTGGGAAGAGCCCGACACGGCCGTAGATCTTCCCCTGCCACCAGTTGGGGTCGGGGCAGCCCAGGACCTCAATGATGTCTCCACGGAGGAAGGGCAGCTGGGAGCCCTCCTGGGCTGAGAAGTCGAACTGGGCTTGCACAAATCGGGGTCTCTTCACCGGCAGGGAAGCCGAGGGCTGGGGTTGGTGGGAGGAGAGGGGTCCCCATCTGCCAGCCCCTGGCCTGGGTCCTGATGGGGATGCGGTGCCACCACGGGATGAGGACGAGCCCTGGGATGTCTGCTTTGAAGAGACAGAAACAAGGAAAGGGAAGAGTGGATTGCTGGGGAGATCCCCAGGTGCAGGGGAACACCCCAGAGCACAAGACTCCCTGTTCTTGCTGCTGGGACACCCGTGATGGGTGCCCAGGGAGGCAGCTGGCACCCTTTCCTTCCCAGGTCCTTCCAGGTGCTGGAGCCTTCCCCATCCCAGCTCCCAAAGCCCAGTTTTGCCACCTCCACAACCACTGCCCCAGGGCTTGGCTTTGCTGGAGTTTGGCCGTGCCCTGTCCTGGCTCTGCCACCTGCCCTGGGCATCACCCCTGGCCTGAGGGACAGGGATGTGTGCCCTGCCCTGTCCTGCCCCCTGAGCTGCTCCAGGAGCCCTTCCTCCCTGCAGCACCGCCTGTCTCAGGCTGCTGCACCCTCTCCTGCTCCTCACCCCCCTGAGCCAAAGGGTGAGTGCCAGGCAGGGATGTCCTTGTCCCTCTGCAGGGACCCTGAGCCTCGAGGGGGCTCACGCAGGGGTTTGGGACCCACAGCCCCATCCATGGTGGTACCTCCTGCATTTGATCCTCGTCCCACAGGAAAATCTGCTGCTCTTTGGCGATCGTGGTCATCCTGTAGAAATCCACCAGCTCGTTGAGGGAGTTGAACTTTTCCTCCCAGAGGAAATATTTGCCGTTCCTCTCCCTGAGCACCTTGAAGTGCTGGACGTGCTTCCCGTAGCTGCAGAAGGAGGATGGATGGATGATGGATGGATGGATGGATGGATGGATGGATGGATGGATGTCACCCTGGGGACATCCTGGCAGCATCCCCTGAGGTGGGTAAACCCTGGGGGTGCTGGCAAGGTCGGGGTGAGCCCATGGGTCTCACTGCACCCCTCTGGCCATAGTGGGGGTGATGGTGGCACTGGGGTCATTCCTGGCCCTGCAATGAGGACCCACAGCTGAGCCCTGCTGCAACTCACCCCACAGGCAGCCAAAGCTGGTGCCCAGCCCTGGCACAGCGGGAGCTCAGGGGTGGCAGCATGCCAGCCAGGTGGAGGGCAGGTGGCTTTGCCCAGGGCCACATCTGGGGAAGGCATGGTGAGAGCTGCAGGTCTGGGCACAAGCCAGGAGGCTGCAGAGGCTGGGATTGTGCTTCTGAGGACCCGTGTGCTGCAGGAAGACGGGGCAGGCAGGATGTCCCTTGCTGTCACCTCGCAGGGCGTGCCTGGGGTGCCAGGCTGGGGTGCCCCGGGCAGGGGCGGGATCCGGCTGTGCTGCCGGTGACGCGGCAGAGCACGGCTCCCTTTCATTAGGGGCAAGGACCTCCCGAAACGTTCAATTATGGATTGAAAGTGTGAGAAAGTGCCTGGCTGGCCTGGGGCCGCCCCCTGCTCCCCAGACCGGGGCAGGGCAGGGGTGAGATCCCCGGAGACAGGCTCTGCCCGAAGTCCTGGGGATGCTGAGCCCTGCACCCCTGGGATGTGAGCCTTTCATCCCTGGGATGCTGAGCCCTGCCTCCCTGGGGATGCTGAGCCCTGCATCCCTGGGGACGATGAGCCTTTCCTCCCTGGGGATGCTGAGCCTTTCATCCCTGGGGATTATGAGCCCTGCATCCCTGGGGATGCTCCCGGCTTTGCTCCCCCGGCCGTGTCCCCAGGAGGAGCTGCATCTCGGCCCCAGCCCCGCCGGGGCTGTGTTTAGGGGTGTCCCTGCGAGGGGAGCGGTGCAGGCAGCAGGAAGCAGCGGGGATGGAGGCGGAGCTGTGGAGGAGAGGAAGGAGGGGAAGGTCCTTGCGAGGCCGTGTTGGATGTGTTGGGACCCGGCTCCGCAGCCCCTCCGAGGTGGCCAGCACAGGGCAGGATGCTCAGCCCTTCCCCAGCACACACGAGGGCGGCCCCAAAGCGGGGGCTGCAGGGACCCTTCCCCTCCTGCCGCTTGTCCCCAGGGCACTTACCTGACGGAGAGGGAGAACTCGCCCGGGGCGCTCTCGCTGTCGCGGATCAGGAAGGCTCCCAGGTGATTGCGCTGGAGCAGCCGCTCCTCTGCCAGATGCCGGGAGATCCTGCCCGCGTACCACCTGCGAGGGGCACCGGGCTGAGCCAGGCGGGCACCGCCGGGCACACGGGGACACCCCGGAGCCGCATCCCCAGCCCGCGGGATGGAGGCACCGAGATTCCCGGGAGAGGGGTCGGCATCGGGCTCCTCACGGGGCTGCGACCCTCCCCCGGCAGTTTCTCCCTTCCCTCCCCCTCTTGGTTCATCCCGGAATTTTCGGGGGGCACCGCAGGGTGCTGTGGGCGCGCTGCCCCCCCCCGCGTCACCGACAGCCGCCCCCGCATCCTGTCACCTGGGCTGTCACCCCGTGCCTCGGCCCCGCTTTGCTGCCTGTCCCCTCCTCCGCGTCCCTTGGCCCCTGGTGGGAACAGCTCTTCCAGGTGCAGAGCAGAAACCCCTCGGTGCCAGGATAAACCCCTGCTCCCAAAGGAGCTGCAGGAGCAGAGTCCCCGTGTCCCACCCCTGTGCCCGGGTATTTCAGGTCCCAGGGCTGGGAAGATTCTCTGCTGCTGTAAAAATGATCAGCCACGGAGCTCAGCAGAGAGCCAGCCCTCCAGGTGTGCATGGAAGGCTGTGTCTCGCCCATCCCGGTTGTTATCCCAAGCTGGAGAAGCAGTGGGATGTGCCCCGGGCTGCCCCGAGCCCACGCGTTCGCTCTGGCATTCAAATGTGATTTACCAGGGGCTAAGGATATATAAAACACACGTTCAATCAGCGATGGATTAGGCTGGGCTTTAATAACGTGGTAATAGGATTGTGTTTAATGCAGTCATAATCCCATAACGTTTTGTTGTTCCCCAATTATCATTTATTTAGTGGCAGCTCGGTGTGAGGGTTGGATTTTTGGGGGTACGTGGGTGTGCTGCTGCCTCCTGTCCCCTCAGGCTGTGGTGGCACTGGCAGACTGACCCCCTCCATCTCTGTGACTCTGTTTCCCCACGTGTAGGACTACCCTGGCTCACGGCAGACCTTTGGGAATTGGGATTGTTGCCTGCCTGGTGGGATGGTACTTACGGATGTGGCTTGACCTTGATGTAGTTTTTGGGGACAAAGCCCTCGCGGCCGAACAGCTCAGCCTTGTACCAGTTCTGGTCATCCTCCATGTTGAGGATCTGAGGTGGGAGAAGAGCAGGGAGGCATCAGCCTGGCTGCCATTCCCCTTGGAGAGGGGCTGAGTGTGACCCCATTGCTGCTCCAGACCCCTCAACACCCCCCAACCACCCCCGGGGGAAAAGGGGGTTCTGGCAGCGCTGGCACACTCTGGGGGTTTGGGGTCACAGAGCCGGAAGGTGCCCGGTGTTGTCCCAAAGCCGGGGAAGAGGGTGGGATCTGTCCTGGAGCAGCCAGGACGTGAGCCAGGCCCCCGCGTCCCCCGGGAGGGTGGCAGTGGGTGCTGACACCGCTTCCGTGTGACAACATTTTCCAGCCTCCCCCGCAGGGGCCCGGGGCCGGCACAGCTGTGAAAACAGGATCCGAAACCCCGGGTCAGGGCACGGGGAAAACATGCCGGGAGGCAGGGACGGCACGGCAGGTTTGGGGCTCTGGGATCCAGCCGGGATGTGCCCCTGTGCCCCCCGGGGGGCTGCAGGGTGCCAGAGGTCCGGGAGGAGCCCGAGAGGGATGAGCACATGGGCAGGGAGGGGGGGCTTTCACTCCCATCACAGGGCTGCTGCCCCCCAGGGATGTCCTGAGCCCCCCTGGAGCTTTTTTTGGGATTCCCAGGTGGCATCTAAGAGCCCACCCCAATGCCAGTGCCTGGGTGGGTGTTTGGGCACATGGTTCCCACTGCTGGATCCCTGTGACCTCCAGTGCCTCCCAGAAAGGGAAAACGTGTCCCCCTGTGACCTCCAGTGCCTCCTGGACAGGGAAAAGTGTCCCAGCCCCGAGGTGGGCACTGACAGCCACGGAAGCCACATGCCACGTCCTAGCTGGGGTGTCCTTCTCCGAAGTTGTGCCTGGTGGCACAGGCAAGCAGGGAATGCTACTCCACACTCCCAAATCCTCCCAAATCCTCGAGGCCGGCTCCTTGTATCCCACAGAAAGCCCCAGAAGCATTCAAGTCAGGGACAAAGAAAGCACCGGTGTCACCATGGGCCCACTCCGTCCCCGCAAACCATCCAACCCCCGCGGCTGGCGAGTGTCCCCTGTACCTTCAGCGTGTCCCCTTTGTGGAAGGGCAGCTCGTCCTCCTCCGTCGCCTGGAAGCTGTACAAGGCCACCGACTCCATGGCCGTGGGGGTCCGCGGGAGGGGTCCCGGGGCCCGCTCCGGGCTCGGGGCTGCGCGCACGGTGCGGCGGCGGCGGGCAGGAAACCGCGCTGATGTCAGCGCTGCCGGGGCACGGCGCGGGCCCTGCCGCGGCCACAGCTGCCCAGATGTGCGGCGGAGGCGGGGGGAGCCGTGCCAGCCGACCTGCGTGCCAGGGGATCCATGTGCCCAAGGATGGCAGAAGGATTTGGAGTTTCCCCCGCGGTGAGTGGAGGGCAGCGGCCGGGGTTTGGGTGGGAACGGGATGGTGATGGGCTGGGCACGGGCTGAGGGTTTTGGGAGAGCGCTGCTGGGGGAGTCTCTGCTTGAGGGGCTTGGTGGGAATGGTTGTTCCAGAAGCAGGAGAATGGCGGCGGGTGGGAATGGCGGAGGCGGAGGGAGGTGGGTGGATGCACACACCTGGTTTCCTTGGAATTCACAGCAAACCCTCCGTGGCTCGGCTCTGAACAGCGAGCTTCAGCACAACTGATATTGCCTCTTTGGACTGTGGCCCCTTGAGCGGGTTGGTTTTTCCCAGTTTTCCTCTGCAGGGCTCAGGGAATAAAAATCCCTTTTAGACTAAAACTGAGCACTAAAACTTCCCGCTGCTCCCGTGGGCGTCAGGCACAGAGTCTGCAGGGCTCGCACGCCGGGGATCATTCCCAGCGGGAAGGTCTCCGGAGCTGTTCAGCCTTCCTGTGTGTGGGCTGGGGCATGGAAAATCCGCCAGACACTGCCTGGCTTTGCTGCGAGGAATCAAACCAGGGACAGCTGCAGCGCAGTCCCTCCCCGAGGGTTTGGGCATTTTCCAGCGAGGAGCAGGAGCTGCTGCCATCTGCCCGGGGTGGGATGAGCCATGGTGCTTGTAGGGCCACTGCGGGGACACGGGCTCAGAGATTCACCTCTCCCAAACCTTATTCCCAGCTCCCGACTGCATCCGAAAAGCAAACGCCCTCTAGCACCCCATTGAGGCCACTTCCAGTGCCCGTGGAAGCAGAGAGGGATGCAGGGTGTCATTGGGTGTCCCCACACCCAGCGAGGCACAATCCCCAATGGTTATCCTGGGATGTGCTGCTTCCAGGGGACACGGAGGTGCTGGGAAGGACAGCAGGGTCAGGGAGGCCGTGGGAAGAGGCTCCCAATGTGCTCGGCTGCCACAGGGAGGAGGGGACTCAGCAAATCCCCACATCCCAGAGAGACCCAGGGGATGGGAATGCAGCAGGAAATCATCTTGGGATGAGCTTCCTCTGCCCCTCAGCAGCCTTGGGGAGGATGGAGCTGGATGTTCCCTGGGGAAAGCAGCCCAGCAGAGCTGCTCCCCCTTTGCTGTGGCCAAGGGCCTGATCCTGTCCCTGCTCCATCAGCCCGAATGGATGATGCAGAGGCCACTCCAGGCCACCAGACACGGAGAACAAGAGGGCAGGGAGGGTGTCTGGGAAGGGGTCGGTGTGGGAGAAACCTGCAGCCCAGGAGTGGGTTATGGGGGTGACAATCAGCTGTGCCACGGGGACACCGGGAGCAGTTTTGGGGTTTGGATTCCGGGGGTAGCACGGAGGCTTTGGGGACACCTTGGAGTGTCCGGGCTGGAGCCACACGTGGTCCCGCAGTGCCTGGGAGGGGGCACAGGACAGTGGAGTCACACAGGGTCCCCAGGCCAGGCTCAGGCCCGGAGCAGGATGGGATCATGCCAGCAGATGGCAGCAGTGCCCCAAGGGACACTGGGGACACTGGTGACACTGGGGACAGCGCCACCTGCCCCTCCACTCCGGCTCTGGTGAGGCAGGCAGCCCCTTTGACATCTCTGTCACATCACAACCCCTCCCCGGGCAGGTCCAGGTCCCTTCCGCTCGCTGGTGGCCCGCTCGTGGCTCGCTGTCCCTGGCTGCTGCCTGAGCACAGGTGGTCACGGTGGGGGTGACAGCAGCGCCTGCACCCCAGGACAGGCTGGGCTGTGCCCCTTTTCTGGGTCGGGAGCCAAATGCTGCAGCGTTCAGCTGGTCCCCAGGTGCCCATCCCAAGTCGCTGTGCCAGCCGTGAGCCGATGCCCGGCAGGGTGGCATCCTGGGGGATGTGTTCCCTCATCCCTGTGCCCTGCACGTCCCCAGTGTCCAGGGGGACACAGGAGGTGCCACATGGTTGCTGTTGCTTGGGTGTCAAAGCTTGAACTTTGGGGTTCGGTACTGAGCTCAGCTCAGTCTGTGAGGAGATCCCAAGGGATCCCATGGATAACCCAAGGGATCCCACCCTGCCCTGGCTTTGGCCACCAGCCCACGCTGTCTCTCCCTGTGAGCTGTGAGTTCCGTGACCCTGGGGACAGGTGGAGGAAGGTGCCAGGGCTTGGCATTGCCCTTTCCTGGCTGCAGGGCCATTCCAGGCCTTGGGAGCTGCCTGGAGCTCCTGCTGACTCCCGGCTTGCCCAATCTGCCCAGCCCTGTTTCATCAACATCCTGTGTTTACCTGGCTGCAAAATCCCCACGCGGGAGGGAGGAAGAGGAGGGAGGGGAGCCTCTTCCCCTTCCTCTGCAGCCTGGGGAGCTTTGTAAGGACACCACTCTGGGATCCTCAGCTCCTCTCCGGCCACTGCCTCAGTGACCCCTTGCTCTGCCCATGGAGGGGGTTTCTCAAGCCTGGCTTTGCCTCCTGAAGGGGCTTTGAGCTGGGCCTGGATGGTTGAGGGCTGGGCAAGGGGAGCTGGCTCATTGCAGATCCAGGGCTTTGCTCCTGGAGCAGGGAGAGGGATGGATGCTGCCCCAGGACACGGTGCTGTGCTGGGGCTTGGGAGTGCAGCACAGCCAGGATTCAGGCTCGTGCCCGGGATGGGGAACGTGGATAAATCCTGGAGGATAAAGGCTGTAGCTGTGGATAAATCCTGTAGGATAAAGGCTGCAGCTGCCTGTGTGCCCGGGGATGGAATCAGCCCTTCCCATGGGGACCCGGATGTCTCTCGAGCCCCACTGAGGCCCCGAGCAGAGAGGAAGTGACATCCTGGGCTAGAAAATGCCACATCAGGGCCCCCAGACAGGATCTCAGTGTCAGCACTTTCCCCCCAGAGCAGAGGCCACGTCGGTGACTCCTGAGCGCCGGATTTTGTGTGTAACCCAACTTCTCAGCCCCCACTGAGGAACTTGTGTCACCATTTACACCCTGGTGTAGCTGAGGACAGAGGGTCAGATCCCTTTGTACCTCACATTATCCCACAGGATCTGTAAGAAAACATCCACAGGAGGAGCAGACCCAGAGACAATTTGCCACTCTGGTCCATGAAAAGCTCCTTGAGGTGCTGGTGCTCTCCAGACGTGGAGCTGCATCTCCTCAGGGTCAGCAGGGGTGGCTGGGGCTGGTATTGGGGTTTTTGAGCTGGTAAATCAGAGCAGGGCCCGCTTGCCTGTGATGTAGGTAGGTTGGGAATTGGGACTGTGCTCTCATGGGAGAAGCCCAAGGGCAGGGGGCTGGTGGTGGGACCTCACTTTCTGCTTTTGGCCCCAAAAATGGATCTGGAAAAGAAGTGGGTGTCATGAAGCCTCAGGTGTGGAATTCAACCCCAAACCTACAAGAAAGGATCGCTGACAGGGTCATCCCATACAGCCTCTCCAAGAGGGATACAGCCTTGGATACAACCTGGTGGCTGGGATTGGCCTCGTGGGAAAGGCCAACCCTGTTTTTGTGGGCAGGGAGAGCCCAGACAGAGCAGCCAAGGGGAACAAACAGTGGGGGCTTCCTGGGAGTTCCCAGGACTCCGTTTTGGGCTGCTGGATGAGGTCACTGTCAGTGCCTGGGCTGGGATGGGGGCTCAGGCCAGGATTGTTTACAGATGTGTGAACCATTAATGGCTTAATCATCAGCTGCAGGTTATTTGCCTCCCTGGGCTCTATAAAAGGACCTGGAGGCCAGTTCTGGGGTTTGGACTGAGGAGAAGGGAGTGTTCTTTCTTGTGGCAGTGTCTTGGAGCTGCTCCTGAGATCCTGCTGTTCCCTGGGATGCAGCAAGAGCAAAAGGTGAGCTGTCTCTCTCTGTGTCTTCCCTGGTGTGACCAGGAGAGGATGGAGCTGTCCAGATCCACCTGGAGCAGGTCCTTGGTGTCCAGCTGGCAGCAGATCTTGTGTGCTTCATGCCTGTGGTGTGCTGGGACCTTGCTGTGGTCACTGACACACCTGGGGGTAACTCTGGGACCCTCATGCAGGCCAGGCTCTGCTCTAAGCTGTGGGAGGAATGTTTTCTGCTGAATCCTGCTGTGGAAATGTCTGATGGTGACTCCTGGGATGAGCAACTGTGTCTGGCCTGCAATCTCCATCCCTGGTGCTGAGCTATGGAGAAGCCCAGGTCCCCATGCTAAAATTTCCCAGATGGGCTCGGATCGGAGCTGGGAATGCTCTGCCAGCTCTTGTGGGTCCTCAGAAGCCATTCCCAGAGAGCTGAAGCCGGAAAACCCCCCCGTGCTGCATTCTATCAGCGCAGCACGGAGGTGCAGAGCGTCCCAGCACCGCTTTGATTCACACGGGACACAAATGAAAAGGGTTCCTTTAAGTGGAAGTTCCAAAGAAGCGGGCAGGAGGCTGGGATTTGGGTGTGGAGGCTGTTTGCTGTCGGTGTTTGCCGTCGGGGGAGGCTCCTCGCCCTCGGCATGGGCTGGCGGAGGAACCACCCATGGGCAGGGGATCTCCGCGGCTCCCGCAGGGCTGGTTGGAGGGGAAGCAGGAGTTTGGGCACATCCAGGCTCAGCCTGAACGGATTCCAAGAATCTCCCCCTCAAACAAGAGCATCTGTTATTTTTCTAGGAATTAAAAAGAAAAACCCAGCGCAGAAGGCTGCGCCGTGTGCGTAGGTGAGGGGACTGTGCTGTCACCCTGCTGTCACCGCTGTGACTCAGCCGGGGGGCTGCCACTCCCGGCACCAACAACAACAACAAAAAAATGTAGGGAGAAATTGTGAATGATCTCTGGCTGCCGGTGACTGAGCTCGCCACCAGGTTAGTCAAATTTCGGTTCCTCCTTAGGGCTGGCTGGTTAACAAAGAAGTTATTAATAACCAATT